TGTAGTTCCTCTGGCTTGTCTCAAGTATACGTGGATTAAAGTGAAGGATCGAACGGCTAAGATGTCGAAAGCTTATATCAACAATACCCACACATTTTTCACCAATCCTTTTTGACCAGTTTAACTTAATCCTTTTCAAATCTGCGTGTTTCACCTCACTAATAAGCACGAAATGCTGTTGCTTGGTACTACGAGACGTTTTGGTGCCATGCCTACACATATAATAAATAGGCTCAGCCCTGAAGCAACCAAGCAACGAAATTGAGCGTGGCTGTTTTGCAAATTTTTCATATGTGTACAGTACGCGACCATTCGAGCATTTTCAGTTTTGAACGCCGCCACTATGAAAGAGTTACAGCAGCAAATACTTCGCGTACTCCAATACCTGCTTTCTTTTGAACAGTCGCAAACTTCAGTCGACACTGTAGTTCCCGAGTTCCGTTTGATATGCATGCGGAGCAGAGAATATTTTATGACTCCAATTTTATCCCTTTTCATGTTTCTTCTGTCCGGCAGTATTTTCCTAGCTGTCGAAATCTTTAATAATTGGCCAACGCACAGGCTGCCCGTGCGAAGATGCATTTTTTGCATAGTTCCCCGCAGTTTTCGTCGCTATCGGCACCGGTTTTCCCGGTAAATGCTTCCAGCTAAACAAACTAAGACTGGCCGCCAGAACTGTCAGTAAACACCCCCTTAAAAAAAAAATTTCAGCTTTCTAGCTTCCCTGGCTCCTAGAAACATTCGAACAAAAACTTTCACGGGCCCGTACGTGGGTACCACACATACCTGATGCCTGGGCTTGAGACTTACATGGACGGGGAACATTCTCTTAAACTTACAGTCTTCTAGCTTTTCAGATTCCAGAGTTAGCAACTCACCCGAGAAAAACTTTGTGAGTCCGTGCATGGGTACCACGCATACCCGAGGGCTGGGTTTGGACTCATCAATAAGTAATTGTGCGGGAACACCTCCTCAAAATACCAGTCTGCTAGCTTTTATGATTTCTGAGTTAACAACTTACCCGAAGAAAATGTTGGTGGACCCGTATGTGGGTATCACGCGGATAAGAGCGACCATTTCGGAGATGGGGCTCGAACGAGCATGTAGATTAAGTTCCCCAAGTTTCAGCCCCGTAGTTTTTGTGGGTCTCGAGATGAAAAATCGGTACAGACGCGCAACGCACACACAGATACACACACACACACACACAAACACACACACACAAACACAGACCAAGACACACACACACAAAACGTTTCTTTGCGTTTTCTGCACTGCATACGCTGCAAAAAACGTATAAATTTTCATGCGTTTTTTTTTTTTGACCGACAAAATTAAAAGCGTGGCTGCTTCGGTTTAGCGAAATCCTCTTCGCGTTCAACGCAATCTAAGCCAGTACCAGTCCTACATCTTTCTAGAGCCTGGCCATTACAAACATTACACGCATAAACGAACATGCAACAAACGCACCCACACACGCATATACACAAATACACATACATACAGGCATACACCATATTCAAGAATGTACGAAGAATTAGCCAGAAAGCACATTGCAATTTGACTGCTTTTTCCACATAATCAATCATTCAAAGAAAAGAACAATTTTTCTTCCGAAATTTGATCATTTCAAACCAGCACGCCTTCCCTTTTTGCCTCC